AACTACAAAATATTCCTCCATATGCTTTAGGAAACTGTTACACTATTAATTGCATTTTTGAGAGTGACCATCCAGTTTTGGTACCATTTGCAGACTTGGCCTGTAATTTCAATGTCTCCTGGTATTCATTAAAACACAGCTTTTGTTCTCTGCATTAACTTTGCCAGATGCAGCGAAAGAAGATAAACTGGTGTTGGTTTCAGCACCCCCTTAGCAGCTTCTCTGCTGCAGCCTGGGTTTGATGGCATAGTTTTGAGACCCAACTGAGCCACTTTGGGCTGTGCAGGAAGTTCTTTGGGCACCAGTTTGGCTTTAATCCACCCATTTCCCTCTCGGTTGGCTTTAGACCTTCTGAGCCACCTTGCCAGCAGGATGTCTGACGCATGAAGTCTTCCCTGGAATTTAGTCTAGAACATTTTTGTCACCAATATATTAGAATTTGAGGTGTAGAGGACCTTTGGCACTATACAGACACAAAACGTAAGCTGACTGATGATTGGTCAGAAGACGCTTTATGAACAAGTGCTAGTAACTGTAGTCAGTATAAATCAGGCTTGTCAAATAACCAGTGTTGAGGAGTGCACTTCTGCAGGTCCTTTGAGATTGTTCAAACTAGAATTCTCGGTTTTCGGACTATCCAGGTTTCTGCCAAAGTAGAAAGAAAACTCCCCCTGTCTCTGTACCGCCTGCTGTCTTCTCTTTGTACAAGTCTAGGGTCATAACATCCAAACTTGTCTCTTTGTTGTTCTACACAATACCTGACTGTCACAACAAGGCAGAGAAGAAGTTGGGCTTTTTAAAAACCGTGCTGCTGTTGTTGAGTAGCCCTTGATGTGATGGTGTCCTGGCAGGATTATAGACTAGGTAAAAAAATACCACCCCAGAAGTCCACCTGAAAGGAAACCTGAATATTCTCTTCAGTTTGCTTCTACGTTGCTACTTATTTCTGTGAGGAAGCGCTTGCAGGTTAACCAGCCCTCTCCTGAACCACTTACCTTTCCTGTCCTCACACTTTTCAGGTTCTTGCTCCAAAATACTCACACCTACAAACCAAACCCAGTCTTGAAGCGCTCCTCATGTGTCCTCTGAACCACGCTCTGCATTTCCTGCCCAGTGTTAGCAGCCAGAGACTAAGGAAGTGAGAGTGGAAAAATCAGATGTAGAACTGGAGTCAGTGGTGAAGCTGGAGCTGCTTAGAAGAGTTTCCCAATTCTTGGCTCAGATGTTTTGTCTTGGCCAAAACCGTGTCATTTCTAAACATCTTGATTTGGAGTAACAGAGCACAGCTGCAGATCAAATGGGAAGAGCTGAGGGCAGGAGACCAAAGCATGGGCTTACTCCATGGTATCCAGAGCCACTTACAGTGGTTTTTGAACAGTGAGCTTTGATGGGGTTTCTCCCAGTTGACTGAAGTAAGCACGAAATATTTATTGTAAGATAATACTTCTGTCCTCATAGATGGCACTGCAAAGGTTTGCCTCCAAGTAAGAACAGACTGTTTTGCTGGCCTTAAGCTCAGATTTTTAAACTCAAACTCTTCATACAACTTCTCTTAGCACCAATAAACATTTTGAAATCTTGCCTGCTTCTCAGTTGTGCTCTGCTGAGTTTTCCGATGACTGACTTTTAAATAAATGAGATGAAGCAGAAGGGAATGGTAATATCTGCAGTTAGTCAGGATTTGCTTAATCTGTCATACATGCTGGCTTGCAAAATTTTGCATATTTTTTTTTTTAATAAAGCAGCCAGTGTGAAAATCTGCTTGCCCGGGGCTGACATCTTTGGCAAGTGTCTGTGGGGGGAAATCAGTGCCGGGCCATGCGTGCTCAGCCTGGGAAGCTGTTAAGGAATGTGGAACTGGTAACATCTCATGATGCATTTCCACTGTACGCATGTAACAGTGGGTGAGAAAATTAAGATTTTTGTCTTGTGAAATAGTATTTTTTTTTAGAAAAAGACTTACTTTAGGTTTTGTAACAGTTGCATTTGCTAATTCATGGCAGCAGTGCTTATGCCAGTGGGAGTCTTTATTTGGTGTATGTCACATCCTTACGTGTTAGGAGTGTTGCACTAAAATAGCTTAAGTTTATAAGGGTCTATAGTAACCTGAGGCGTTACTTCAGTGCAGTGGGCGAAGGTCCACTGATTTTTGGCCTCAAAGGATGTAGTTGCAGAAGTAAATTTGCTCTGTGTGTGACCTGTGCATCAGTCAGAGGAGGCCGCATACTTGGCATGCAATTTTTCTGTCTTCAGATTCTTTCAGAAGAATAAAAAGCTAATAGGAAAAGATGTCCTCTCTTATTTCCTCCTCTCCAAATCTTTCTGATGCTGGATCTCATTCAGAAGAAAGGTAGAGCCTGTTTTTGGATGTTTTATGTTAACGTGATTGTCAGTGTGCTTGAGTGGAGCTGGATTTCTGATCTAGAGCACCAGCAAGCAGTTTCTCTGTTTCTCGACTCTTCTGAATGTCTCTATTTCTGGCTATTAATAATAGGGAATTTCAGATGATCTAAGTTTTATTACTTCTGATTATATGCTCTTTTGTGCTGCTTCTGGTGCAGTCAAATGTTCGTGGTAAGCCGAGGTCTAAAATGAGGTTTCAGTGAATTTGCCTTGAGCGACTGAGGACATCTATGTGGGTATTTGTTTGTAAGGGTTCATGGCTGTGAACATCAGCGAAATGTTCAGAAGCACAGCAGAACCAAAACTAAACCCAGTAAAGCACAGCTAACACTGTATCTGCAATTATGCTTGGACTGTTGAGCCTTATCTGCAGTGTCCTTGGATTGAAGATAGTTGTGCATTCTTACGATAACACGCAGGTTGTGCAACAGCGGTTGGCTCCTTGGAACCCAAGTTTTACAGGGTTTCTCTCTATTCCTCTGTATTTTTCCCCCTACAACACTTGAACCGTTGGGCAAGACTGAAACCTGTTAGGATGTATTGTTAAATAAAGGGGTTAATTAAATGGGGCTGGTGTAATATGTAAATGATGTAGGATCAGAATCCTTCAAGGAGGCTACTACACGATAATGGAAAAATCCCAATGCTGATGTTCCTTTCAAACTCTTTAAAAGATGGATACTTATTGTAATGAAGAACTTTCCTCATTGTAGGTTTGTGCACTATGAACAAAGTATTTCTGGAATTGTCCAAAGTAAATCAGCTAGAGAACTGTTTAAAAAGCCCCGAATAACACAGGCATTCTTCATTAACTGTCCTAGCAATAGGAAAGTGTTAGTAATGTACTCAGCCTTAGAGAACCACTTATTACTGTACTACAGTGCACCAAGGTGATCTGAGGAAAACTGCTCGGTTTTTCTGAGTGACATTAAAGCTACTTGAACGTAAACTAGATTGGCATTCCTTTATTTAGTAAATGACTCTTTCCAAGGTTTGGGATAAAGGAAACAAAGCACCAACCCTGGGTACTTCAACCTTGGATGTTGAGGTTTTGTTTTGGTTTGTTTTCATCTGGAAGGCAGGTTTGTGACTGGGAAGAAGTGCAGCTATTCGTGCATAGAGGCACAAACGATAACAATTGGATTAACTCCTTTTATCATCGCTGTTTAAAAATTACTTGTAGTTGATACTTCAGAAACAGGGAAGGTCTCATAGTTAAAATACGAGGCTGTAAGATTTAATGTTCCACATGCTCGTAAAAATGTCTTTACTGAATTGGGTGTCTGGGACAGATGCTCATGATAAGCGAGTTGCAAAGTGAGCAACTTCTTCTGTCTCTTTAATAGAAGAATGTAGAGACGATGCATGTGCCACTTAAAGCAGCGTTTGTTGTGAGCTGTTGTGGCAAGAGGTCTTAATGTTCCCTTTCTCCTCAAGGTTTGATTGCTACGGAGGCCTCTCCAAGATCAACACTCCCCTGCTGACGCCTCTCAAGCTGTCTCTGGAAGAGTGGAGCACCAAGCCGACCAACGACACCTACGGGCTGTTTGCGGTGGTAATGCACAGCGGCATCACCATCAGCAGCGGACACTACACCGCGTCTGTCAAAGTGACCGACCTCAACAGCCTGGAGCTGGACAGGGGCAACTTCATCACCGACCAAATGTACGACATGATTAAACCAGAGCCGCTCAATGAGGAGGAGGCAAGAACTGTGGCTGAAGACTACGACGACAGTGAAGTCTCGTGTAGAGTCAATGGAAATGCGCAGCCGGGTAAGGTCCTGAACAAAAAGAACATGGAAGCTGTCGGACTTCTAGGGGGGCAGAAGAGCAAGCCCAACTGCGACCTGTACACCACCAAGCCGGCCAACCCCGAGAAGTTCCTTAACGTAGTTCCTGAGAACAGAAACCCTGAGTCCAGCAGTAGTAATGGGAGCGTGGAGAGCAGCTCGGGACGCAATGAGCAGAACGGCGTCGCCTCCAGTGGACTGGAAAACAAAGCTCTGTACGTGCTGCAGAGCCTCAAGGAGTACGAAGGGAAGTGGCTGCTTTTTGATGACTCTGAAGTGAAGGTGACGGAAGAAAAGGACTTTCTGAATTCCCTTTCTCCGACATCGTCATCTACATCAACTCCTTACCTACTGTTTTATAAGAAAATTGTAGAGTGATGCTGTATTTTGACTGTACATATTAGGGACTTGCATACACCTATTGGTCTGATTTGCATCAAAACTACCTGGAAGAAACCGCTGTTTGTTTTTGAAGCTACTGGGTTATAACGTTTCTGGTCTTTTTTGTTTGTTGTAAGTGGCTCAACTTGAATTAACGAACCATGACGTAGAACCTGGCTCACACAATAACTGTTTTTGCTGGAGAATAGTGGTATTACCTTTTAGAAATACCAATTTGTATAGTTCCTCAAGGATGCCTACAGTACACGGTAGTGGTTTTAACACACCTCTAGGTCTCAGACACACCTATTGTATTATTAGCCTTTTTTTTTTTTTAAATAAAACTTATTTGTATTCATATTCTGGAGTAAATGTATATTAACTAGCAAATTTCATCAGAAGTTGTGTATTTTTGTAACTTGGGAAGTAATACTTCATATTTAGTCTTTGGGTAATGGACGTGGTTTATTCTCCTTATCCAGTTCTCCACTGCTTGGTGCAGTACGACACAAGAAAAAGGGGTCCTGGGACCTTGTTTAGTGCATTGGGAGGAACTGAAAAGAGCAATGTTTGGTTTGTATCTTGTTGCATCGGTGTTAAATGGGCAAAGTGTAAATAGGTGTGATTAATACTTCAGAAGAAGAGTGTGTAGTGTAATTAAAATAATTTTGTACTTTGAAGAGTGAAGCCGCCTAATACACGGAGCTGTGGGTGGATCTGGGACTTAGTGGTGATCTGACAACGTGATCTTCATTTGTAGCTGGAGCTCACTGAAACGTGGCAAAACAAAAGCAGTTGGCTTTGATGCTTTGTTGAGAATGTATATATGAAATAAAAAATTTATGACATGCATCCGAGATGACCAGAGCAGACTTTTGTATCGGAGAGGGAAAAGTGGAAAGTGATTGGGTGCTGTTACAAAAAAAACAGAAAACAAAGTACTTTATAAAGTAACATTCTCTGTTTCAGTACTAGATATAAAAATCCCAAATCGGTTATGAGATGCTAAAATATGACGGTGAATCGCATGAACTGCAGACAGTGAACATCTTGGAAATACGACACAAAATGGGACGAGTGTGTCCTTCTGCTGTGATGGGCAATGGGATGACGTGAGTGCTGCTGCGGAGGTGAGGGAAGGTCCACGAGCTGTGAGTACACCTTGCTTTTCTGGAGGGGTTTATAATTTTTCAAATACAAATGAATTTATTTACAGGAACAGCCCTAGAAACCTCTGCCTAGTTTACTCTGCAGTGCTTGGTTTTTTACAATCTTTTATTACACTGTAGTATAAATACTGAGGTAATTTGTGGAAAACAGTGTATATTCCATGTTATGGTGGACCTGATTTTTGCACACGCCTTGATTTTGCAGCCTATCCGAGATGCTGATCTATTACTGAAATAGTTTTCAGTCTAGAAAACTTTTACTGTCAACAGAAGACTGAACTAACTTTAGAGTGGCTTATAAGCCCATGCTGGTTCGATGTCTGTAGTAATCATCTTCTGCAGGGGAGAAAAATCTGGAGTTACAAATATGCAAAGACCTTTCCCTTTTCCAAAGCAATGTCACCGTAATAAATAATGTCGTAGTCCAAACCAAGAAACAGCTGTATTTAAAAAAGCAACAGTAATCTTACCTTGTAAGGGTAGCCAAATCACCTAACACAGTGCTCGTTTTCACTACCTGCAGTTTGCTGAATTTCAGCTGCAAACGGAAGTTTATTTTTCCACACTTGACCCAAACTCATCTTTTTCATTCGACTGCAGGAACAGGAAATGTTCCAAGGAAACAAAATACCATTATATTCAACAAAATGTTGGCTGTGGTGTAATCCAAGGCAGCCCCAGCTGCCTCCCATCGCACTGCACAGCCGGAGAGAAACACCCTTTGCAGGCAGCTGAACGGAAAACGCTGTCAGCTGGAAAATGCTGAGTGAAAAACACTTTGGAGATGTACTCAAGGAAAGCACTTGCCACCCTGAACAAGTAACTTGCCATGGTAATGTCCCGTGTTACACATGGCCTAGAGGTTCTGTGATGGCAAACACAAGGTGGCTGCTGCCCAGTCTGAGCTTTCCAGTTTCTTACACTGGAGCTTTACACAACGGTCGAGCTGTATGCACCGATACCCCAGTTAGATTTACCCAGACACAGGGCCATCCAGTAAAATCAAAGGATATTTATATAAGCTTTGGATTAAAGTTGATGCTTTCCTTGCTGAAGAAACAATACACAGGACTAATGTAAATCAAGGTTTCATTCTTTCATGGCCATTAGGATTTTTTTCCCCTTTTTCACTTGGTAAACATTTTGCATTCCTCTTCATGTAAGTATCCTGCAATGCCACCCCCTCCTTCTTTGGTATTTTCCGTTATGAGAGTCCATGACTCCCACACAGCTCCCAAAGCCTTGCCAGCTTTGGGTGTACCCCAAAGAAACCCCCCCTGCAGCACCATCTACCAGAGAGGAACGTGGATGTGGGGACTGAAGGTAAAAACTCTTTAGGTTTCAAAACTGAAATAAGTCACAAACTGGAAGTGATGGTGTACAGAATTATTTGCTATCGTAAAAGGTCATTTATAAACATTTTTTTTCCTATAGTTTATATATCTAAAAGAAGTACATTTATAAAATCTGTTGTTTTATCTTATACACATATCCGTATTCAGGTATTTCTAGAAAGAGAGACTAAGCTTGTTTAATCACACACTGCCTCTTCCAAGGGACCTTGTTCAGTTCAGAGAGGAGAAATCAAGAGCCTAGATTTAGGAGTTGCGTACTCAGCTCCAACTTTGACCCTTCCTTGAAGCCCCATGTTAGCCAGCAAAGTAACTGCTGTAAACCCCCTGTTTTTCTTTCTGTAAATAACAACGCAAAGAACGCCTCCTATGTCACCTTTCTAACTTGAACTGTGTTACAGTTTCATGCTCTTTTTCCCCATGAAACGCACACTTAAAGATGTGACGTGATCACTGTGGTGGTATCAGGACTTCCCTGCTGCGGGGATGACCGCGTACGGGCAGCAATCGCGCTGACCCTCCCCTGCCCAGGAGGTAAAAGCTGTGCCTCAATTCTTCCACTGGCAACAAATCCAATAATTTTTCTTATTGCAGCAATTCATATTCAGAGTTACAAAGGAAAAGAGGCAGGGAAAGTACAAAAATCACCGCTTGATTAAGAAGGGTAAGACTTACCTTTCTCTGAACCTTTTTTCCTGAGGACGGCGAGCTCTGAAGTCCAATGCACAGCAATTAAAGTGTAAACATTCACATATTTAATAGTACCATCAAAATAACCATCATCACTACATTAAAAACTTCAAAAATGCATTTGCATATGGTCCTAATATAAATTAAATATACCAACTAAAAGTAAATAAATTTAACATTAGATAATGCTATAAATAATGGTAAATGCGTTTAGTGTACCTTTGAGTCATAAAAATGCCTTAAAAAACAGGTAAGTTTACAGCTTATCACCAATACTCTGGATACCACTGCCATTATTTTTTTTTCCAAACATTGATAAGTCTACATTTGACAATTCAGAATGATTTTTGGCCACTGAACACTTGGATGGAGGAAGAGGTGTGTGGGATGTCCAGGATGAAGTCCAAGTTTTATTTCACAATAAAACTTCTTTGATTCCCAGCGTTGATAACAAGGCTCTTTCTTTTCAAAACCTTAATTTTTAAGTGCTTTTTTAGTTTGGTTTTTAACTCATTTAGATATCCATTTTGCGAAGGCTCATCCTGCT